GGGATTCGAACCCGCCACCTTAGGTGTACGTGGCTGGCGCCTTAGCCGGTTGAGCTATAGGCGCCGAGCCCAAAGAACAGCTTTCACAGGGCATGCACATTGCCGCTTTCCTTGAGAAAAGGGGTGTGACTTCAGCAGCACCTCTTTCACTGAAAGATGCATGAAAATACTCTAGGAGACCTCGTTAAAGATGAAGATTCTGACGCAGAAGGTGTGATCCAGTGCCCAGCATGACAGTCAGTGTTTCTAACAAGCCTCCAACGGATGCAGATGCTGCTGGTCTAGGGACCATACCAGAAGTTTCCTGAACTAGTTCGAAAGGCTTGTACTCTTTCTGGTTCTCTGACCTGCCAGCCGTGGGATCTTAGGAGGTCTCAGGGCCTCTCCGGACTGCAATTCTTTCTCCAAATATTATTTAGATCAATAAGCATGTGTCGACAGCTTACTACATGCTGTCCTGGGTGCTCAATGGAAAACCAAAGATGAATAAACCACAAGCCAAGCCCAGGAGGGGCTCAAAGAGAAAAGTTCAACTATAATATGTAAAGACCCTTTTTTTTTTTTTGAGACAGAGCCTCAAGCTGTCCCCCTGGGTAGAGTGCCGTGGCATCTCAGCTCACAGAAACCTCCATCTCCTGGGCTCAAGCGAGTCTCCTGCCTCCGCCTCCCAAGTAGCTGGGACCACAGGCGCCCACCATAATGCCTGGCTATTTTTTTGGTTGCAGCTGTCATTGTTGTTTGGTGGGCCCAGGCTGGATTCGAACCGGCCACCTTAGGTGTACGTGGCTGGTGCCTTAGCCACTTAAGCCACAGGCGCCAAGCCATAAAGACCCTTTTGATTCTAAAATGTTATGACTCACTGGCAGAAAGGAATACACAATCTTCATATCCCAGAAAACATCTCTCTAATCACTATAACAGGTATTCTCCACTGACTAGTGTCCTCCGAATCAGGGAAGAACAAATCCAAAAGTGACCCCGCGAGAAATTTAACCCAGAATCTATCTTGCCAGTTTACAGAGTGGGGAAACCAGAGAATGGAAGCAGTTTCCAGCTGTGCCTTTGAAGGGAGTGATGTCTAATAGGAATAAAATGTAAGCCACAGAATTTTAAAGATGTTATTTTAAATTCTGTGGTGGCCACATTGAAAGGGGTAGAAAGAAACAGGTGAAATTAATTTTAGACTGCAATACCCCAAGATGTACAACGGATTATCATTTCAACATGGGATCAGTATAAATGAATGAGATACTTAGCATTCTATTTTTTTTTGTCATTGTGCTAAGTCTTTGAAGTCTAGTGTGTGTTTTATACTTACGACATGTTTCAATTCACACTTACCTGTTTCAAGCCCTCAGTAGCCACACATGGCTGGTGGCTACCATGTTGGACGACACAGACGGAAAGTCCTAACGCAGTTGTACCTACACAGACCAAAAGAGCCAAGTTTCCATCCATCAGTAGCATAATTCCCATGATCAGTGGCTTCATTTTTCTATACACTGGATCAAATTAATCTTTCTTTTTTTTTTTTTTTTTTTTTTTGAGACAGAGCCTCAAGCTGTCCCCCTGGGTAGAGTGCCGTGGCATTACAGCTCACAGCAACCTCCAACTCCTGGGCTCAAGCGAGTCTCCTGCCTCCGCCTCCCAAGTAGCTGGGACCACAGGCGCCCGCCACAAGGCCCGGCTATTTTTTGGTTGCAGCCGTTGTTGTTTGGCGGGTCTGAGCTGGGGACTCGAACCCACCACCTTAGGTGTACGTGGCTGGCGCCTTAGCCGGTTGAGCTATAGGCGCCGAGCCCAAATTAATCTTTCAACTAGAGGTGTAGCTTCCTGTGGCCAAGTTGAGTAGAATTACACTTCAGAAGGGACCTTAAAGGGAGGAGCTGAATCTAACTCGACCTGTGACTTTATGGAAGACCAGGATCTGGCACTGTTGGATCAGGAGAGACCACAGATGGTGACGGCAGACTGGCACCTGGAGCTACATTTCCACAGCTGTGTATATGAAATGCTCGGCACAGTGCCAGGCGCCTGTGCCCCCAAATGCCTGAGAAATCTCAGTCACTTTCCATCCCTTCCTCTCTCTAGGTTTTGCACCCAGCCATTCTGTCCCCAGAGAAGTTGCTCAATTAAAGCAAGGTAAGATTCCAACCACATTTTGGAAGAGGAAGTGTCATTTCCAGCTTGCCTGGTAGGTGCTGCTTGCTATGCTATGCTGGTTACATAAGCGACAGCATGACACACCTAACTGATGATTGTTTGCAGCACGCCCCTTTCAGCCGGGAGAGTCACACAGCCTTTCCCTGGGAGAATAGTGGTGCCGAAAGGAGGAATGTAGTCACCAAAATTACTTTTGTCATCTGACGAGTAGGGCTAGTTCACGGGTATTATATCCCGAGTGTTTTTCTACTGCAGCACAACCTCAAGAAAAACCAGTTTCAGGAGCGCCACACCTAGGATCAGATGATGCAATATGATATTAGCGTCTCGTTGCATCAGTGCTTCTGACGCAGGTTTCTTTTAAGCTGGCAAAAAGCATTCTAATGGGGCAGGAGAAAAAAGGAAAAGACTAGCTGGCTGAAACCTAAAGGTACTGTCAGTACTGTGCCTAATTGGCCACACAGGGTGTTTAGAGGATAAACGCCCAACCAACCACCCCAGCTCCGACAAGCATCTGCATGCCATTTCCTGAAGGGGACTTGATGGCATATTTAGGCGAAATTCTTTTCTGCCTGGTTCTGCTTACGCTTGATATCAAAGCATCAAGGTTTAATCTCTGAAATCTTTTCTAATGCAGGTCTATTAAGAAGAGGGTTTCAAAGGGTGCTTCTAGTCCATCTTGACCTTTCTGAAAATCTCTGAAATGTACCGGTTGATCTCATTTCCAAAATTCTTTTACCTAAGTGCTCTTGGCTCCCTGGACACACAGACTTTGGACTTTGACTAAGTAGCTTGGATTTGGACCTCTGGATTTCTCTGTTTTCTTCAGACCTTCGCGGCCTCCCAATCCTGTTTGTTGCTACATTGGTGAATGAATGAATTGCAAACACCCTGGAACTTTATCCACTTTCAGGAAGTTGCCTGAAGAAGGAACTTCATCGAGCAGCATGTCTGGGGAAAAAAGAACCTGGTGAAAAATCTTTGCCAGGAGAGCAAGTGATACCGAGATCATAACTGGGATGGGGGAAAGCATTTTCCCTCCCTCCCTCCCAAGACGAGCCAACAAGATCAGCTTAACAATAATCAACCTTCTATGTGCCTTGCCAGGCTCAGGGTGCCCCTGTCCACCTCTGCAGAACCCAGCCAAATGGCTCCTCTCATCCCAGCCCTGCCATACACTTTTCCACCTAAGAGGCGTGTCTCTCAACACTCCTGAACTTTTCCCCTACCTGGCCTGGAATATTCTTCCTGCCCCTTTTCATCTGGTCTCATCCATGTTTTTTTTTTTTCCTCATCCGTGTTTTAAATTGTTCAGCTTAACTTCCCATAGCAATGGCTTGCCTGACCCTGGAATAGGATAAATTCTCTGCCCATAACGTTCCTATATAGCTGTCCCTTTATAACACTTCGTGTCTCTTTATTACACACTTGTAATAGCTTGTCTAACTGTCTAACTTTCCTCGTTGGACTGTGCATTCCACTAGAACAGAAATCTTGTTCCCTAACTCTGCATCCCCAGCACTGTGGGTCTTGCGTGTAGCGGTGACTCAGTAAACACTGGTCAAAAGATGAAAAATTTCCATGGAAACTAACTTCCAGTGCGTCAATTAGGAATCAATTCACCAATATATGAAACCTTTAAGTAATTCTCTCGTGTAACAACACCTTGGTATACATACTTGGGACAGATCCATAGGCAAATAAAATCCAGCTTCTCTCGGCATAGGAAAAAATTATTCAAATTGTATTCATCTTTCATTCCAATCACTCAATTAGGGCACGTCCCCTGTCGGCCGCTGCGTGAGTGAGCGAAGTAACTATTTTCCAGTGACTGTCCTCAGGTGACCTGTCTAGACGTGCCCAGGAAAAACAATTTAACATTCTCCTAAGCCCCGAAGAAGTCTGTGACGCGCAGGACGCGCCGCGTGGAAGGCCTCAGGCGCACTCGCTGGCCTGCGGAAGCAGCAGGAGCCGAGGAGCCAAGGCCGGCGGCGTGGCGCCCGTCGCCGGGCGCAGGCTCGGGTGGGCCGGGTCGCCTCCCAGGCGGGGCGGGGCAGAGGAGGGCTGGGGTCCGCCCGCCAGGAGGGGGCGCCAGCGCCCCGGGCCCAGCGCCGCCCGCCCTGCTGCGCGCTCGCTTGCCGCGCGGCCGCACATGTGTTTCTGTTTTGTGTTGTAGCATTTGTTCTGGAAGCTCGTATTTACATTTTAAGTGTATCTGGTGAGTGGGCTGGAGCTCTCGTCTGGGCCGGAAAAAAAAAAAGAAAGCCCTCCGATCCATCTTTTAGTTGCTTCCCTTTTTCTCTCCGGTTTCTCATCACTCCAACCAGGTAGGGGCTGAAAATCGAGTGATCAGTTTGTGGGGTCTGGGAAAGTTTTTTTTTTTTTCCTTCTTTTTTAAAAATTAAAGGTGGAAAGAAAAAAAACCTGGGGAAGGGGGGGTTGGGGGATTGAATGAATAAAAAGGGGAAGGAAGGCGGATCCACGTGGTTTAATCGGAGACAGACAGAGATCCCATTGTTCAAAATCAATAAAAAAAAAAAAAAAAAAAGGCAGACAGGGGAAAGCGCAGGGGCGCTGGGGGAGCTGACGGCGGAGCCGGGCAGTTTGTAGCCGGATCGGAGAGACTGGCCGGGCTGCACGGCCCGGGAGGGGTCGGGAGAGAGTTGGGCACCATTAAAGTTTTTATTTCTCGTGTCTGTGCGAGCAGGTGCTTGGGGCTGGGGGCTGGCTTTATTCAGGCTCTCTCCCCCCTCCTCGCGGAGACAGTCCTGATTCGGCTAATTGAGAGCTTGAGGTCGGAACCTTGGAGCCGGGGCCGAATTGGGGTCTTAAGACTGACAGGGGCGTGGGGGGACAGCAGTGCATTACATTGGGTGGACTTGGGGAGGGGGCACAGAGACAAAAGCAGCAGGTGGGGTGACTGGGGTGCAGGGAGCTTCTTTACCACCTGAGGTACCAAAGGGGGTTCCTTAAAGTGTCCCAAAGCCTAATTTTTAATTAAGATGTAGGGCATCACAGGTTCTTTTTCTTTGCCTTTACTTTTTTGGGGATCAGACTGCAATTGCGATGCTTTGTGGGAAAACCTAACTTACGGATGGGCCGGGCGGGGGGAGGTGTCCTTCCCCCCCCCCAAGCGGATTGTATTTGGGGGGCTCTCGGTTCCTTTGCGGGATTCCCCGGAGGACCTGCTCCGGGGCCAGGGAGGGGCGCGATTTCCTCTCCGAACTCGCCCCCTCTCCGCCCACCCCGCGGCCGCCACTTTGGGGAGGGTAAGGGAGGAAGTGGAGGCCGGGTGGCTCGTCTCCTCTCCCCTCCCCCCGCGCAGTTTATAACCCGTCCATTGTGCGCCGCTGCCCCGTGTCTCCCTCCAGCCGCGACCATGCCCAGGAAGAAGGCGGCGGCGGCGGCCTGGGAGGAGCCGAGCTCGGGCAACGGCACGGCCCGCGCCGGGCCCAGAAAACGCGGCGGCCTGGCGGGCAGGAAGCGCGAGCGACCGGAGCGCTGCAGTAGCAGCAGCGGCGGCGGCAGCAGCGGCGACGAGGACGGTCTGGAGCTCGACGGGGCCCCCGGAGGGGGCAAGCGCGCGGCGCGGCCGGCGGCGGCGGGCAAGGCTGGCGGCGCGGCTGTGGTCATCACTGAGCCCGAACACACCAAGGAGCGCGTCGTGAGTGCGAGGTCGGGGGCGGGAGGGGGGCCGGGGCGCGGGCAGCGACGCGTCACCGCGCGCGTTCCGGCCGGGGGCGGCCTCGCGTGGCGCTCCCTGCGGGCGGCCGGGCCGACGCAGGCCGCGGGCTGAATCATCATCGTCGCCGCCGCCGCCTCCGCACAACAAAAGGGCGCGGGTCGGGGCGAGCGGGCCGCGGCCTACCCGACCCCACAGCCGACACCGCGCGGGCCGTTGGCTGTGGGTACAAGCACCTCGGGCTCCCCGGCGGGGGAGGGGCAGCCGGAGCCCGCCCGACCGAGGGGGTCATGGCCCCGCCCCCGGCGCAGCTCGGAGCCGACTCCCATCTCGCCCCTCCCCCTCCTCGCCCTGGGGAAGGGGACTTCGGTAAGTTCGCTTGGGCCGGGGGAGGGGGCGGCGAGCGGCACGGCACGCGCACGTCGGGACCTGGTCTCCTGCACCCACTGCTGTGCCCGTGCGCGGCGGGGAGGGGGCAGCCGGCGCTCGGCGGGGAGCGGCGGTTGTGCCGGGGCTTTGAGGTTCCCGCCGCCTCGACTCCGGCGCCCCGGGGGGGCGGGGCCTGACGGCCGCCGCGCATGCCTGGTGCGTTTCTTAGCCGCCGGGAAGGCGGGGGCTGCTGGCGCCGGGGCGGTGTGCTAAGGCGCATGCTCGGGAGAGCCCGCGGCACCCCCCCTCCCCAGTCGGGGAAGCCCCCCGGCTGAGCAGTGCTTGGGCTTTGTTTGCTGTGTGTGGTCCTAGGCTGCAGGATGCTTAGTATGGGCTCGGTTGTAACCCCCCAGTGAAGAAGCGACTCCTAGAGTCTGCACGGGCTTTACTTTGCTCAGATCTTAAGGTCGTGGCCAACTCAACCTGTGCTCCTGCAAAACCTTATGGAACCAGAGATCTGAACCTGCAGTCCACATCATCCTCACCAGAACTTTCTGCAAGTCTGGTGTGGCATGAGATGTACTTATGGGAAGAGGGTCAAAGCTTTCAGTAAATGCTCACGTAACACCCAAGAAGAGTAAGGACATCCTCTTGGGGTTTGGAATCCGATATGTTCTTCACCGGGTGTTTAGGGGTTAACAGTGCCAGAGAGCTTTCCCCTAGGAGATCTCAGGAAGTGTTTAAATGGTTAGAAGTAGTACCTTCTCTGCATCCACCTTATAGATGAGGAAACTGGGACACAGAGTGTGAGGAGGGTCTTGTCCAAAGTCCTGGATGGAACTAGATTTCCAAATGATGTCACTCATACTGGCGTGGCAAATTGTAAATGGGCTTTACATAATTGCTTTCCCCGTGGAAAGGTTAATGCGTTAGATGGTATAGAGAGCACCAAAATGTCTTGTCCTCAGGAGGTCTTACCAGGGCCCCTGGGTCTTGGGTGCCAGGATAATGGCCAGCCTATCCAGAAACTGGAACACAAGGACTTTCCCTTTGACAGATCACATCCACTGTGCTAGACTCCAGATATTTGCCCTCCAATCTCAGTTTGTTAGGACGAAGCCAAAAAGAAAGGCCAGGTGCGCTTCTGTCTCTTCTATTTTGAGAGAGTTTTCAAAAGCAAGATCGTGTTTGAATATCTGCTTTTGTAGTTGTTGGCTGCATAGCTCTGGGTGCTGATGCATTTTGTTGTGAGGAAGTAAAAGATTCTTACCCCATGCTGAGATTCACCCTCGCTGGCTCCCCACCCAGCCCACCTCTGCCTTCACCAGCACTGCATGAAGCTGGTGTGTCCTGTGGAAATGGCACACTTGTTAGTCTTTCTGGAAGGTTCTCTTGCTCTCTGACTAGACAACAGCAGTCCTTTGCAGTTTATCTGTGTTTCATATTTACATTAGTCTTTAGATTCCTTTTGATACACATACGTACAGAAAAAAAAGAATACGTATGTGCATAGCAGGAATTTAAAACCTCATACATTCCTTCCTCTATCCCCTTGGAGAAACCAAGAGGTCTTGTTAGGCGGTTTCCTTTGGGCAAGTCACCATGCTGCCCCTAAGATAAGAGCATCTGGGAGACTGAGGGTTCAACAAACAATGTTCTTTAATGTTTCATGGAAAGTACATACCCCAAGTTGAAGTTTTCCTTAGTGTCTATTGCAGTGGTTCGCAACCTTCCTAATGCGGCAACCCTTTAATACTGTTCCTCATGTTGTGGTAACCTCCAACCATAAAATTATTTCTGTTGCTACTTCATAACTATATTTTTGTTACTGTTATGAATCTTAATGTAAATATCTGATATGCAGGACGTATTTTCATTGTTACAAAGGGATTGTAACCCACCAGTTGAGAACCATTGATCTGTTGAGTTTTGTCCAGGGTCAGGGCTGTGCCCATGTGGCCCCATTGCCTTCTATAGGCCTAGGCTGGCACTCTGCCCCCTTGTCCTAGGTTGGCCTCCTCCCCAGTATCCCTGTGCCCAGGTTCCTGGTCTCCTGCTGGGGAACAGGCCTCGGGGACCCTGCCTGCTGCCACAGGCCATAGTCTCTAGCTTGTTTCAGAAAGAGCCTTTTTACTGAGCATCTCTCAGGCCTTGCCAGTGTGCAGAGTTGCCTGAGGGAGGTTTGTATGAGAGTAGCTGCCCTAGACTCTAAAACCATGTTGCCTTCAGTCATCTCAAAGCTATGAGTGTTGGGGGTGAGGAAGGGGAAGTAGTGTTATGTTGTTGGGGGGCAAAGTTGCTTTGAGTAAAAGATGAGGTGTTTTTTTTTTTGGAGACAAGTCTCACTATGTTGCCCTGGGTAGAGTGCTGTGGTGTCACAGCTCACAGCAACTTCAAACTCTTGGGCTTAAGCAGTTCTCTTGCCTCAGCCTCCCAAGTAGCTGGGACTAGAGGTGCCCACCACAACGCCCGGCTATTTTTTGGTTGTAGCTGTTGTTTGGCAGGCCCGGGTTGGGTTCGAACCCACCAGCTCCCGTGTATGTGGCTGGCACCCTAGCCACTGAGCTAGAGGCGCTGAGCCAAAAAGATGAGTGTTTTTATGAAATGTTCTTAAGATTTCAGTCTTAGAAATCCTTCACTCTGAGGACCTGAGATTTAGGTGTAATTGTGTCAGATGTGTTTTTTGTCATCAGTTAGATTCAGCCCCAATTCCTTGTGAACTTCACAACCTTGAAGGAAAGCCGATAGCTTTGGCCAAATACTAGAAAATAGGTGTATATAACTCAGACTGTCCAGGTCTTTGTAGTTTCCCAGGCTTGGGCTGCTGAGGTTTGGTGGACCCTGAGTCAAGTCTGTCTGATCTGAAGTAGCAAATAAATGAAACCAAGAAGAGAGCGTGAAGTCTCTTCCAATTGATAGCCCGTCAGGGGATTTGTTGGTGCTGGCATTTGTCCGCAGAAGCAGTGATCTTCTAAATGGAGATATGTTAGAAGTTGGCTCCCAGCCTTGTAAACCTGTTCCTCGAACTTGAGCCATAATTCAAGAATCCCTTTGGACCAGAATACCATTTTGTTGCTTCGAAAAGCTCAGTGCCTTTTCCTGCCATGGCCGTTCATTTCTGCCCAGGTTATGTGTCTAGGTTGCTAAGAGGGAGCAAGGTAAATGGAACTCCTCCCATTGGGGAGACTGTTTCTCTGGCTTTTCTCCTGGGTGGCCTTTAGACACAGCAGTGTTGCAGACCGAGTTCATTTAAAAACCAATCTCTTGCCCCATCAGTGAAGGCTGATGTAGCCTCGGAGGGCTTGATGGCCTCTCACTCCTCCTGTCCTGGCACCTGCACTCACTGGTGTCCCTCTGGGTAGAGTTAGCAGGCATCCAGGTCTCTCTCCCTTGGATGGGCTATCTTAGGGCTGTGACTTAAGGGATGTTAGGAGTTCTGTTCTTTATTTTCATTTTTATTCCACATAAGGTAGAAGGGAGAGTTAAGTTACAGAGAGGTAAAGGTAAGTGGCTTATAGCAAACAGTTGTTAGGCAAGGTGGTCACCTCCGTCTCATGTGGGAGGAAATACGGTCTATGACAAAAACTTGCTTAACTAGTAGTGCCCTTAGGAATCAGAGCACTGTCTGATGGTGGACCCACAGTATACTATGGCTTTCTCCAAATACCCCTTATCAGAAAGGTTGGGCTTTTTGTGTAAGTGCTTAGATAGCTCGATGGGCCAACATCCACATCCCTGACAGTGTGTGGAGGTCACCCAGGGTGGCTCCAGCACTGGTGAAGTTTGCTATAGTGAGTGCCTCTCAGTGTTGGGGAGTCTGGCTTCAACAGTAAATGCTGAACACGGGTGCCCTTGATCCCTGCTGCCCAGGGAGGTTGCTGGGCCTGGAGCAGCCACCATCCTGGTGCCCTTGCCAGCAGCTCCCCGACCCACAGTGCCTCTGCCCCTTCCCCTGCTTCTGCTGCTCCCTCTTTCTAGCTGACTTGAGGACTAGTAGAGCACAAGTCAGTAACTTGGACAGAGAACCCAGGACTTCTCTTTCCACAGGGACTTTGACAGAACCCGCTGACTAGACCTGTAAAATGTTCCAGCCAGTCCTGCCAGTTAAACAAAGAAGGGGAGATAACCAGGGGAAACTAGGCTCCCATTCAAGTAATCTGAGTCTGGGTGCTGCACGGGTTGGACTACCCTCTGATTAAGGTCACTCTCTAAATAATTTAAATTCGGCTAAGTTGTTCTTGGTTCTGTGCTCTTTCATTTCCTCTTTTCCTGCCCCCTGCAGGATGTGTTCCTATAGATGGGCCATCTTCCCCCTGCCGCATACATGCGGCTGAGCAGGCGAGGGGGATGGGCCTCGTACTGGGGGGGTGCTTGTAACATTAGGTTAGGCTAGGGGAGTTTCCTCAGAAGTGGAATTCGTTCATCGTGAAGATGCGTGATCTTAAAAATGTGTGAACCGTACAGTCGCTGTGGAGAGGTCAGAATGATTGGATCTGGAGCTGGCCTTTCTTCTTTAAGCCTTCCAAGAACAACTCCATTCGCAAACAGAAGGAAACTTTTCTTTTCATGTCCTGGAACGGTGATGTAAAGGAAAGCAGAAAGTGAAGTTGACGCTTCCCTTGCCAGTAAGGACTGAGTGGGAAGCTCAGAATTGAATCTTTGACTAACAATCTACTTTAAAAAGTATGTTGTGACATTTAAGGAAGCAAAGTGCTGAGAATATTATGAGTGCCACACAGAATTGGACAATGGCATTTTTAAATGGCACAGATTTCCACTGACAGTCTTGAGAGTTGGTGGCCGTAATGACTTTCTGTGTTGAGAAACTAAGGATGAGAATTGAAGTGCGTGGCTCGTAGCACAGCCTGTCCCTCTAGAGGCCAGGCCCTGGGGAGGTCCCCTGGCTCATGGACAGCTGGGCGAGTGAGCCATCGAAGGCCGCTTGCGTCAGACCCTCCCACACCCTTGTCTTCCTCTGGTGGAGAAATTGAACACCATCCTCTACTATTTTCCTTTGCGATTCCCTGTGGACAGGCTCTTGGCACAGTGGGCACAGGCAGAGGGACAGTGGGGAAGCGGCTGTGAGTGATGGCTGTGCAGAAGTGACTTGGGGCTCCCAAGGCTTGCAGTCCACTGGGGCAGCACCTTTTGCTTGCCATGGGCTGTGTAGACTTGGCCCTCAGGATGAGCTGGATTTAGTAACCTGCTGGGTGAGGTGGCTGGCTTTGCGCAAATAGCTCTATACACCAGTTCGTAGAGGGGAAGGGGGAAATATGATTTGCCTTAATTTCTAGTGTTTTGAAAAAGCTATTTTAAAGAGAAGAAAAAGGCATAACAAATGAACTGCTGCGGGCAGGCAGGTTTGAGGTCACCCACAGGTAGCCGAGTGCTGATGAGGGGGTGGTGGTGGGCTCTGCCCAGGTGCAAAGCCCCCAGGTGGTATACGCATTAGTGATGATTTACTTTCTTTTGTTTCCTGCTGTCATCCGGCAGCCTTGGAAAGCTGGAAACAGCCTTAAACGCTAATGCTTTTCCCTTTCTCTGTCTCTGCAGAAACTTGAAGGGTCGAAGTGCAAAGGGCAGCTTTTGATTTTTGGGGCAACCAACTGGGACTTGATTGGTCGGAAAGAAGTGCCTAAACAGCAAGGTACGAGAATGGTTTCCAAAAACCCATGGTGTGCTTCCTTTGTGGTAGGCGTGCAGTGCAGTTCTGATGACCGCCACCAGGTAGGTATTCCCTTCATTTACAAACAGCCAGGTGACTCACCTGAGGTCACACAGCTACGATAGTGAACTCTGGCCTGCAGTCTCTCGCTTCACAATCTTGCTTTTAAGAACCCAATTCCATTAAGATTAAATGGGGAAAATATAGTGTCATACGAACGTTGACACCTTTTTCCATCTTCACGTCACTTATTTTCATTAAAATGAAGAAGCTGTCCTATGAGATGGTGTCAGAATGTCCTAGGCATTTGTCAAATGTCAGACGTTTCAGAAAAGTCCATATTTCTTTTTTTTTTTTTTTTTTTTTGAGACAGAGCCTCAAGCTGTCCCCCTGGGTAGAGTGCCATGGCATTACAGCTCACAGCAACCTCCAACTCCTGGGCTCAAGCGAGTCTCCTGCCTCCGCCTCCCAAGTAGCTGGGACCACAGGCGCCCGCCACAACGCCCGGCTATTTTTTGGTTGCAGCCGTCATTGTTGTTTGGCGGGTCCGGGCTGGGGATTCGAACCCACCACCTTAGGTGTACGTGGCTGGCGCCTTAGCCAGTTGAGCTATAGGCGCTGAGCCGAAAAGTCCATATTTCTTTGCAGGCTGCCAGGTTATTGCAGGAACTCGTTTGACAGAATAGTCTGTGGAGAGACGGGAGCAGAGAGGTCCTAAGAAATAACTTTCTGTCCTCATGTGCCTTTAGAAAATAGATGTCTTTCCTCAGGAGAAACGGGCCCATCCGAAAGAAGGAAGGCTGGCACGTAGCCACATTTTATGGCTTCTTGATTTCATTTGGAAATACTCCCAAAGTACTTCCAACATTGCTTTGCCCCATGAATAAATATTTGCACACTGGCACACCCTAGAGCCTTAAAACGGGCGTTGGAGATCATCTTGTTCCATGAAAACAGCAGGCATCTCAGCAGTGCCTGGGGCCAGCTGAGAGATGGGTCTGTGGGAAACCCCCCAGCCTTGAGGGCCATCCTCTGGGGGCTGTGTCCACGCAGTAGCTAGTGTCCCAGGAAGTGTCAGCCTAAGCCCCCCGTGTGTTAACGGAGCCTCTCTGCCAGTCCTATGCCTGCGTTGAATCATTTTTCAAACCTGCTCTTGAGATGAGCGGCCTCTTTGCAATCAGACACAAACCCAGAGAGTGGAAGTGACTTCCAGAAGGAAGGCAGGTGGCGGGGCCTAGGTTAGACGCAGGCTTGTTCCATTGCCTCTTGCAGGTGTGGTGTACGGTAGAGGGGAACTTCCCCCATCAGCACCGTACCCCCAACTCCTGGCAGTGGACAGAGGCTGGGGCTCATTCAGTAATGCTTTTTTGTCTCCTTCATTTCCACCTTTACTTCCCAGGTTTTTCTCCTTCCAAATGAAGGCTTATATAATTTCAGAGTATTTTTAAATACCTTTAGGCCTGCTGTAGACTTTCCCAGTAGACAACAGAAGAAAGAGAGGGACGATTTGTTTCCTCGGTGGTGCCAAAAGTGAAAGGAAGAACTTTGTCCTCTCCCTGGTCCCTTCCATCCTTGCAGGGCCTTACCTCAGAGGGACCCCACGAGTGGTTCTGGTGGCATGGGCAGCACGGATGTCTGATTCCTTTACAAGGTAGCAGTAGCACAGCCATCCGTGCTGTGACTCTGATTGGGACCAGGCCCTGGGCATTGGAGGCTGTGGGGCCCAGGACTGCTGCTGGGTGTTCCTTTAGACCTGGACCTCCCGGAGCCCTTGGGTGGGAGGCCAGGAGAAGGCCAGCCTTGCTTTTCCTGTGATAGGTGGCATCCTGGACATTGATGTTCTTGGAGCCACTACAGGGAAAGATGTTTTGGCAAATCTGTAAGCATCAAATCACCTGTGCAGCGTGGCGCCACGTGGCCAGGCTGGGTCAGGTATTCCTCCACCTTCTGCCGCAGGCTGGTACTGCAGCGCAGTTACTGGCCCTCGGTTATGTCACTGTTTTGTTTTCATCACAGACAGACCTTGGCGTTCTCTCTTTTTTCTCCTCCTGTTGTTTTTGTTTTTGAATGAGGTCACTGTCACCAAGTCTAGAGGGAGTGATCCTCTTGCCTCAGCCTCCCAGGAAAAATCCCAATGATTTTTCTTCCATACAGTTCCCTAAGCGTCATGTAATTTAGGTACCTCCATAGGTCTCTTGTGAGGAATTTTAATATAGCCTGGAGGCTGTTATTTTTTTTGTTTGCTCTTTCCCCTGGAAATTGATTTTTCTTTCCACCTTGTAGTAGAGCAGAGTCTTGGGTGGGTGAGGGCTCCATGACCCTGTGAGCGCGTGTGACTGAGTGAGGATGGTGTGTGGCATCCTCAGCTGGGGGCGGAGGGTAGGAAGACACTGGCATTTCAAAGGTACTTTTGCAGGCAGGGGGGTGATTGATGGAGACATCGGGGTCTTAATCCCTGTTCCTATGGTCAGAGCAGCCTTGACAAGCTTGATTTTGGCGTTGGGTAGTGTTTCAAAAGAGTCACCACAGGGCTTCACTCATGGGAGCCCCAGATTGAAAAAATTAAGCCAAAAATTGGCCATGTTCCTGTCTACTAATAGGGTAAAGTGGGGATTGTGACAGTATTGAGCATTTATTGTGTGAGGCATTTATGAGGCCCTGAGCCAAAGCAGGAGACCATAGCTGTGGCCTTTGGGTGGCTTGTCATGGAAAGGGAGGGCAAGTGAGCTCTCAGGGGGAGGGCTGTGGTAGGCTGACCTGAGTTAATGAGGAACAAATGGGAGGTGGGGGAGGACATCCTGGGGGAAGTGAGTGTGGGCAGGCAACCTCACTGGGAGGCAGTGAGGCAACCTCACTGGGGCAGGAAACTCCAGGGTGGAGGTGGGGCTGGCTCAGCAGGGCTCCTCCTTGAGGGCCTGATGGACCTGCTGGGAGGGCAGGTGGTTTCCTGGAGGATGGGGACGAGCAGGGTCAGAGCTTAGAAAGAGCCTTCTGGCTGCAGGGGGGATGGGCGGGCTGGCAGGGACAGAGGTGAGGGAGTTAGGGTTACAGGTGAGAGGGTGTTCTGGGCAGGCTGGATGCCAGGCCTTGACACTTGGAGGTGGTGTCCTCAGCAGTGCATGCGAGTCTGCGGTGTGGGAGGTCAGGCCTGCTGTTGATGTCAGGCCTGGCCAGCTCTTGGGGCAGTCTGTCCCTTGGGCCTCCGAGGTGTTGCAGAGATTCAAGGTGCAAACTTGAAGCTTGTGCAGCTTCCAACTGCCAGGTACCCAGGCTGCCAGGCTTGTACCATCAGAATGTGGCCCCTTGGTAGCTAGCAGCACTTTAAAGGGGTGGTTCTTACCCTCCATCCCAGGTGTTGATGTGCATTCTTCTCTTTGCAGCCGCTTACCGCAATCTTGGGCAGAATCTGTGGGGGCCCCACAGGTATGGGTGCCTGGCGGGAGTCCGGGTGCGGACGGTGGTCTCGGGCTCGTGTGCTGCGCACAGCCTCCTCATCACCACAGAAGGGAAGCTGTGGAGCTGGGGTGAGTACCTCTCTTGAGCCGTCCCCAAGCAGGGCTTCTGCTTGCCTAGGGAAGAGATTGAGGTCCTCTCTCTGAGGCTGTTCAACGTCTGCAGTCCCCATTCTCTCACCTTAGTTCCCATCTAGTCTCCTCTGTACCATGCAGGTAAAGCCCCGTCCTCCCCCTTTCTGATGTCTTTGTGCATATGTAGCCCAGTTCTATGATTCCTTGTCTGAAAGCGGCCTCTTCCTAAATTTTCTAAATATTCTTTTTTTTTTTTTCTTTTTTTGAGACAGTCTCATTATGTCACCCTCAGTAGAGTGCTCACAGCAACCTCAAACTCTTGGGCTCAAGTGATTCTCTTGCTTCAGCCTCCCAAGTAGCTGGGACTACAGGCACCCCCCACATCGCCCAGCCATTTGTTGTTGTACTCGTCATTGTTGTTTAGCAGGCCCAGTCTGGGTTTGAACTGCCAGCCTCGGTGTATGTGGCTGGCTCCCTAGCCTCTGAGCTACGGGCGCCGAGCCATTCCTAAATATTCTGATGGAAGCTTGATCGTCATGATACTGTGGTGCTTAAAAGTGAAAGCCTGTTTTAGGTGGGCTGTCCCTGCAGCAGACAGTCCCCTTCTTGCTTTGCAGCACGGTGTGATTCTGCTCTTGCCACTCTAAATGCCACTGGCTTTTGTGTCTCTGTAGCTCTGGCTGCTGTTCTGTGGCGCACCCAGGTTTGCAGGCTTCGTAGCCCACTGTCTAGTCTGTCCGTTTCTTACGCTGTTCCCCCAGATACTCTAGTTGCCTTTTCTTGGGTTGATTTGCTTTCCCCTTCTGCTGCTTTTCTCACCTGGGAACTTGAGATGGGTTCCCTGTCCTTTCCTGGGGGCGTCTCCACTCCCATGTCAGCGTCCTGCAGATGGCTTTCCTATTTCCTCTTCCAGATCATTAATAAAGTATTGACTAAGGCGCATTTTATTCCCAAGCCCTTCTGGTAGCTCCTGGACTCTTCTTCCAGCTGGGTATGTTGGCATTTGTCCCCACCCTTTGTTTCTGGCCTTTTGGCTAGCTTTTAGCCCATATGACTGCATTTTTATTTCGGTCTGTTTGAACCATTTTTTGTGATTTCATGAGCTGCTGTACCAAAGTCCAAATATATTAACATCTGTTGTCTTCCTGCACTCTGCTAATTTTGTAATTCTGTTGAAAAAACGCCAACAAGTGTGTCTGGCCCAAATTTATACTTTATAGTCTCTTGACATGCTGACACTGCCACGATTTTTATTTTCTTCGGGTTGGCATTAAGGTGTGTTCCTGCCCCCAAAGCACCCTGCCTACTCATGCTTTAACAGTGAACACAGCCTTTGTGTCAGTGTTCCAAACTTTAACTCTTATTTTCACTCTCTTCCTTACTGAGCTTCTCTTAATGGGGGTTTCTAAAAGCGTGCTTTGTGCTGGCCTGTGGGCAAAGAACAAAGTGCATCTTGCTGTCCAGATGTGTGGCCTATGAGCCGACTAATGCTACAGGGGGTGTCATGAGTCCACTGTTAGTCACTCTAAAAGGCAGAGGGATGTTGGGCGGCGCCTGTGGCTCAGTGGGTAGGGCGCCGGCCCCATATACCAAGGGTGGCAGGTTCAAACCCGACCCCGGCCAAACTGCAGCCAAAAAATAGCCAGGTGTTGTGACTGGCACCTATAGTCCTAGCTACTTGGGAGGCTGAGGCAAGAGAATCACCTAAGCCCAGGAGTTGGAGGTTGCTGTGAGCTGTGACGCCGCAGCACTCTACCAAGGGTGATAGAGTGAGACTCTGTCTCTACAAAAAAAAAAAAAAAAGGCAGAGTGATGTTGTCCAGCATCCATAGTATTATCACCATGGGAGAGGTTGATGTGTTGCTCACGTGGGGTCTGCCCGGTGGGCCTTTTAGCCTTCCCCAGGCGTGAGCCCCAGAGACAGGGGAGACCCAGGCATTGTTCTGTGTTTCACATGTCTTTCACTGTGAACTTGGGTAGCTCCTGTTGGAAGTTGGCATTGCCTCTTCTGCCAGAATGCTGATGCTGGCCATTAAGCCAGATTTTCTTTCATTTAAGAACACGTCCAGTGGCTCAGTGCCTGTGGCTCAAGTAGCTAAGGCTCCAGCCACATACACTTGAGCTGGCAGGTTCAAATCCAGCCCAGGCTGGCCAAACAACAATGACAGTTGCTGCCAAAAAATAGCCGGGTGATGTGGTGGTTGCCTGTAGTCCCAGCTACTTGGGAGGCCGAGGCAGGAGAATCGCTTGAGCCCCCTGTGAGCTGTGATGTCACAGCACTCTACCCAGGGTGACAGCTTGAAGGTCTGTCTCAAAAAAAAAAAACCAAACATATCCAGGGATGGTTTCTTCCTGGTAGTGCAAAGCCTCTTGTAGTTGGAGGCCCTTTGCTGACTCTGCAGCCCCGTGGGACCATTGATCTCTGGCTCTGCTTTTCTCATGACCTATAAAGGTGTAAAGTTCATCATTGGGGAAGGATGTGACCCCCTTCCTCCTCAGAATTGCTCAAGAAAATCTTCATAAATCTCTTTACTGATTTATTTATTTTTGGGGGGGGCACGGTCTTAAGCTATCGCCCTAGGTAGAGTGCTTTGGTGTCACAGCTCACAGCAACCTCTAATTCTTGGGCTCAAGCGATTCTTCTGCCCCAGCCTCCCAAGTAGCTGGGACTCCACAACACCCGGCAATTTTCTTTTGTTGCAGTTGTCATTGTTGTTTTGGCTGGCCCGGGCTGGGTTTGAACCCGCCAGCCTCTGTATGTGGTCGGCACCCTGCCTGCTGAGCTTTAGGTGCCACCCTAATTTTTTCTTTCTTTCTTTCTTTTTTTCTTTTTTTTTTTTTTTTGAGACATTCTCAAGCTATTGCCTTGAGTAAAGTGCCATGGCGTCATAGCTCATAGCAACCTCCAACTCTTGGGCTCAAGCGATTTTCTTGCCTCAGTTTTTCTATTTTTATTAGTGATTTTTGCTCAGGCTGGTCTTGAACGCGTGAACTCAAGCAATTCACCTGCCTCAGCCTCCCAGAGTGCTAGGATTACAAGCATGGGCCATCATGCCCAGCTGAAAATCTCCATAAATCTCAATGTTAGGTTACACATTTGTGGTTCTCTGTGTGGGAGGGACCTGAGAATGGCCCATTGAGTTATTTTGCGTTGGAGCTTATGTAGCCTGTGTTGGAAACTAGACAAGGTATAGGGGTTTCTGGCCCTCTTTTTTGGCTCAGCCAACTTGCCACCTGTGTTTTGGAGCCATTTTTTAGAGGGCCTGTGTGTTGCAGAGGACTTGGTGGCAGGGAGTGGCCCCCTTGGGCCTTCCTTCCACAGGGAGTTATTTTCACAGGTGCAGAGCTTTGGCCACATCTGGAGCAGCTCAAGAGGTGGGAACTGGTCCCTGGAGGGGTGGGTGTGTGTTCAGGGCAGGTCTGAACTTTGTTGGCAGGGTGCAGGTATAAGGGGTAGGGTTGCCATTGTCCTGTGAGCACCATTTATAGGGCAGAGACTGAACTGTCCACAGTAGATGCTCAGGGCACTGAGGTATTTGAAATTTGTCAGCCAGGTATCAGATGGGTACGGTCTTAAAATACATTTCAGAAGGAAGGGACAGAGGGGGTGGTTGTCTCACAGGCACCATGAGAAGTGGGAACTGTGTGTTTCCGTGGGCATGCCTGCCTGTGTGTGGCATCTGGGTCGCACTGAGCCTTCCTCCTGTTCCCCTTGGCAGCAGAGATGTAGGAGGTGTGCATAGGTGTGTCCCACTGCTGCCCAAGGACGGGGGTCGGAGGAGGCGCAGCAGGTGCCTGCTGTGGGCTGCACCAAATCTTACACAGGCCATTCATATTCACTCTAGTGGGCAGAGAAGGTGGAATTTTTTTTTTTTTTTTTTTGAGACAGAGCCTCAAGCTGTCCCCCTGGGTAGAGTGCCGTGGCATTACAGCTCACAGCAACCTCCAACTCCTGGGCTCAAGCGAGTCTCCTGCCTCTGCCTCCCAAGTAGCTGGGACCACAGGCGCCCGCCACAACGCCCGGCCGGCTATTTTTTGGTTGCAGCCGTCATTGTTGTTTGGCGGGTCCGGGCTGGGGATTCGAACCCACCACCTTAGGTGTACGTGGCTGGCGCCTTAGCCGGTTGAGCTATAGGCGCCGAGCCGAGAAGGTGGAATTTTCTTCCCTGGATCTTGGCTGTCGAGTGTAGAGGGCGCCTTCCAGGAGACACAGACTGGCCTCATTTGAGAGTGTGTGTCCTTGCCTTACAGTGCTGCTCTGGCCACCCTGTCTCCTTTCTACTTTATCTTACTGTGATCTCCAGGTCGAAATGAGAAGGGGCAGCTGGGACATGGTGACACGAAGAGAGTGGAAGCCCCCAGACTCATTGAGGGTCTCAGCCATGAAGTGATCGTGTTGGCAGCATGTGGGCGGAACCACACCCTGGCCTTGACTGGTAAGGAAGTGACTGGTTCCTTCTACATTAGGCAAGGGGCCAAGTGGTCCACCGTGAAAGGGGGGGTGGAGGCCACTGCTATGACTATTGGTCAAGATTCGAAAGATGCCGCAGGAGCCAGATGGTAGGTGGCTTCTTGAGGGTGTTGCGAGCCTCCCCCGTGGCCACGGGAAGCCCGTCTGGGAGTCTGAGACAGCTCGCTATGTTTTTATGCACGCCCAGTTTCTGATGTGAATTGGTTTTGCTCTGAAGTACCAATTCACCATATTTTGGACTCTCTCACTTGCAAATGAGCTGTTTTTTTTTTATAATTTTGATGCCTTTGATTCCAAATCTAGTTGAAAACATGCAGTATTACTTTCCCCTTTGTGGGATTCTTCCTTCTTTCCTTCCTTCCAGAAACGGGCTCCGTGTTTGCGTTTGGGGAGAACAAGATGGGGCAACTGGGCCTTGGCAACCAGACAGATGCCGTCCCCAGCCCGGCTCAGGTAACTGCTCCCCTCCCCCAGTTAAGAATCGGTGGCTTCTTGCTTCTCCTGACTTTCGTGTTTGGTTTTTTGAGGTGAGGTCATGTACTTCTCCCCATTGTTTGACTTAATTCACCCCTTGTGAAAAGAGGGTCCAGATGCTGTTAAGTTCGAAAGTTGCATACTATAGGGCCATTTCACAGGGCTCGCCTAAATACATCCTGCCTATCAGATATTTACATTACAATTCACATGGGTAGCAAAATTACAGTTCAGAAGTAGCAACAAAAGTAATTTTATGGTTGGGGGTCACAACATGAGGAACTGTATTAAAGGGTTGCAGCATTAGAAAGGTTGAGAACCACTGCTATAGGGGGTGTCCCAAAGGCTGCCCATTAAGTTGCTATACATAAGAAAACTGAGAAACTATAGTTAAATGTGCCTTTATTTACAAAATATTCATTGCAAAAATTCACAAAGAGTTACTTTGTGAACAAAGGTACATTTAGCTATAATTACCCATTTTGCATGGGGAACTTACGGAGCCTCCCGCAGTTGGGACATCCTGTAGTCTTTAAAACAGGTTTTGTGGCCACTTAAGGAGTGGCCTTTGGGGCACCCTATAGTCTTTAAAACAGGTTTTGTTTGTGGTCAGGTTGAACTACCGTGAAAACTTTTTCTTTCTATATGGGAGAAATATATTAGGCCTTGATTTAGGATTAAGTTGGGGAGTAAGATTTATACCTTAAAAATTTACTACTAATAAAAGGCAGAGGAATGCTAAGGGCCTAATTAGTGGTTTAGGTGATGAAAGGAAGGACTTGGCTTTCTTGATCTTAAAAAGAAACAGTGGCTTTGAACTCTACTCCTTATTGGGAAAGGGGGGAGGGAATTGTGAGGATGTTTCTTTACATAGATTCTATGCTTTGTATTACAGAAATGCCTTCAGCTTTTGCCTTCAGAATTGTTGAGTTTATTAAATACCTTTGTATCCTAATAATTGTTTCATACCACGATGCAGAAAGGTAGAGACTTTATCAGTCCTTTTAAAAATGACTGAGTCTTCTGTCTTTTATTTTCAGATAATGTACAACGGCCAGCCAATTACCAAAATGGCCTGTGGGGCTGAATTCAGTATGATAATGGACTGCAAAGGAAACCTCTATTCCTTTGGGTGCCCTGAATATGGTCAGCTGGGTATGGAAATATATTTTTTAAAAGCTCCATAATCTAACTGGGTATCAGAACCAGAAAAATCAGTGTGGGGCTGCACGCATGTGTTAGAAATGTGGGGAATTGATCTCAGATAATAGCCTTTATCCATTAAGTGGATCTCAAGTTTAATGGAACAGTGTGGCGTAATTCACGAGGGTTACAAAGTATTGCCCCTATTTGCCTCAATGAAAAAGTCAGGACCGGGGTCTGACAAAAGATTTTTTTCTCTGATTTGAGATCTCATTTATATAAAAGGATTTCAAAGTTAAAAAACCCGCCTTCATTCAGCTTCACATTTAAAGGTTTCCCTTTTCTGAAAATAAGAAAATCGCCCAAGATGAAAGTTGTTCTGAAAACCCTGGCCTGGGTGATTATTTCAGACTCCCACTTCCGTGTTGGAGGAATGGGGGGGGGGTGGCGGGGGACCCCAGTTCTCCTCCCCAAACAGACTGCATGCATCCAAAATATACTGAGTATGTTCTACTCTCACTGAGTAGAAAAATTCAGAAAGCCCTTCTCAAAAGAGTAGGAAAGGTCTTGGATCCTCCTCTGGCACCTGCCCGCCCGTCTGCAACCCATCGCCTTGCGGGTGGGCGGTGCAGAGTGCGGCGCGGGCGCCCCCTGGCGGCCGGCGCGCTCCCGCAGTGCCGGGATCTGGGTTGCTGGGTCTCGCGTCACCAGCAGCCGGCAGATGGAGAGTGTATAAATAGACCGCGGAGACGCGATGGCCTTGGACTTCAGGGAACAGTGACTTTGTGAAACTAAATATACCTTGAGTCAGAAGTGAGTAAGAAAGAGCAGCTCTCCTTGCGAGTTCCTGTTGGTTGCCGGGGCGTCTGGGCCTGTTGGGGAGCCGTTTCCATGGCCACGGCCCCGCCAGGCCAGACACCGGAAGTGCGAGCTGTGCTTCCGGCTACGTGTGTGGCCCCTGCTGCCACCCCACTCCCCGGGCGCCTGGTCTAGGCCGATCAGGACAACGGAGGGTGGGAAGGATAACGGCTACCGTTTTTGAGCAGCTGCTGTGGCCACCAGTGACCATTTCGGCACATAAAAGTGCGTACAAACCGATTGGTTCTGTTTACACTCACTGAAGGTGTTTGGGGACTTGGCTTGATTTGGATCAGGAGAGGTGCCAGCTTGTTTTAAAACATGTTTTCAATTTGATTGTCTAGATCCAGGCATATCCCTTTTAGAATTAGAACATAAACGTGACCTTGGAAGAGTTCCCTGCACACACTCACACACTTGAGCTCTTCTGCTTTTTGCAGTGTGTTTACTGGGTCAGGTAAAGCAAAGAAGCTGTGGCCACTTCAGAAGAGTAGGGAAGTCCCTTTGTTCGATGTTTTTTGGAGCAGTTGTTAGCTGATAACATGGAGAAACCAGGTGATGTGCACAGCTCCTTTAAAGGAGGTAGAGGGCAAAAACAGTCCCAAAATGTGCTTCCCGCTCCCTCTGGGGCTTGTCAATCAGGTTTAGTAGCCATCATTTTGATACCACATAAAAGAGACTCAGGTAGTCATTTGTTGACTGCTGTATTGAAACCTTGTCCAAAAGAGTGCAAGTATCCCCCCAAACACCATTTTGGTGTGAGAGGCAGCTTCCAGTGTCCTATGACTCACTCTGTTTACTATGATGTCCTTAAATTCATCATAGCTTTGAAGATGGTGGAATCCTTAATGTCTGCCCTTGGACTTTTAAATTGACAGGTGTATTCCAGTAGAAAGAATGTCAGCAGTGGAAAATTGGGGCCATAATACGTGTTTTAAGTAATGTAGAACTGCTTATGAAAAGAATGTTATAAAACAGTGCCCTGATAAACCCAGTAATTTCATCCTGCTTATTTTAGTTGTGATTTCAAGATAACATTTGTTCCTTGGTAACCATGGGGGATTGGTTCTAAGATTCACTGTAGGTACCATAACTGGAGGAGTCTGAAGTCCCTCATATAAAATGACATGATATTTGCATATAACCTATGCACAATGTCTTATATGCTTTTGAGGGGGAGGTGGCATACAGGGTCTCATTTTGTTGCCCGGGCTATAGTGCAGAATGTGTCGTCATAGCCCACAGCAGCAACATCAGACTCCTGGGCTCAAGCAATCGTCTTGTCTCAACCTCCCCAGTAGCTGCTACATTGGCCACCTCCTTAAGTTGACCTGATTTTCATAGACCAGGCATGTACCACATGTATGTATCAGAATAATAGTAGGCCTAGTTCCTTTATGTTGACCACCTCTGTATTTTGACCAGTTAATTATAGTCTCTTGGGTAGTCAGCTTCAGAGGCTCTACTCCAACTCATCTCTACATTACTTAAAACACATAATACAGTGTAAATGTTATATAAACAGTAGCTGTACTATATTATTTGTGTTATTTGTTGTTCTTCCCCTTCCTAGTAGTTTTGGTTTGCAGTGGGTTGACTCTGAATGCAGATGTGTGGACATGGAAGGCTGATGATGATGATGATGATTATTTTGAGACAGTTTCATTATGTCGCCCTCAGTAGAGTGCAGTGGTATCACAGCTCACAGCAACCTCAGACTCCTGGGCTTAAATGATTCTCTTGCCTCAGTCTCCCAAGTAGCTGGGATTATAAGCTTCCACTACAACACCCTGCTATTTTTTTGTTGCAGTTGCCACTGTTGCTTTAGCTGGCCCAGGCTGGGTTCAAACCCACCAGACTTGGTGTATGTGGCCAGTGCCCTACCCACTGAGCTACAGCACCAATCCATGTTCAGCTATTGTTTAGAGACAAGGTCTCACTTTTGCTTGGGCTGATCTCAAATCCGTGAGGTCAGGCAGTCCACCCACCTTTGCCTCCCAGAGAAGCCTGACTATTTAAATAACACAGCATTCTCTCTGACATACCAGCAAAGTGTCAGTGTGCAAAGAAGTACGCTGTCAAGGGGGTAGGATTAACCAGAGGCGGGGGCCTGGGGGTGGGTGGGGGGCTAACTTAACATGCCCAACTATGATATGACAGTTAATGACTATAGCATGGGGTTAGGAGAAGTTTGTGATTACAAATAGCAGCACCACCAGCATGGTGTGTACCCAGGGCTCCATAGCAGCCCGGTCCCTAGTTTGGTGACCTGGTGAGCTGGGTCTTTGTGAACCCTCGGCCTGCTGTCCATCAGAGCATAGAATTGTAGGCTTTGTGTTAAGGTTACTGATAATTCATGAAAACAGAAGCCTGGAATTGGGCGTTGAAATTTGCTGTCCATTCTTGGCCCATCTGGTGTTCCTTGAGGTCTCCTAGCTATGGTGCAGATGCTACTTGGTAGATAGACCGTTCTTTTGGATTCACAGCTTCCTAAGTTTTTGGACTACAACCCAATCTGTATGTAGAATACTAGACATAACTAAGGATTTGGGCAACAAAACACCCCTGTGAGGAGTATCCTCTGGTTGTTTTTTACGGTATTCTGTTTACTTTTTCTAAAGTAATTGGTCTCAAAGCAGAAAGTTAATTTCATGACCTGCTAATTGGGCTGTGCCTCAAATAGGAGAATGCTCTTTGTTGACCAAAATGTCCGGGTAGGGCCCAGACTGGCCCAATTCGGATCGGTGGCCTGGGCCAGTTGCAGAAGCCCAGGGTGTGGGAGCTCGCCTGCTACAGGCAGCAAGCACTTTGCCATGTCCCTCGTGCCCCGTTTGTGGTTGCTGATGCTGGCTCTGTAATCACTACAGGACACAACTCGGATGGGAAGTTCATTGCCCGGGCGCAGCGGATAGAGTACGACTGTGAGCTGGTACCCCGGAGAGTGGCCATCTTCATTGAGAAGACGAAAGATGGGCAGATTCTGCCCGTACCAAACGTGGTTGTTCGAGACGTGGCCTGTGGCGCTAACCACACAGTAAGGCTTGATTTTTTTTCTTCTCAATTCCAGAGAGTCATGCCAGGCTAGAGGGTGTATTTGTGTGTAAGAGTCCCAACACATGGTATTGGACAGGAACTGATCCCATGTGTATATCCTGCATTCTTCAGAGGTCTTTGTAACTTTCATTTGGCCTTGAGGTCCTATGTGAACTTGTCCCACAACTTACAGACATACCTAAACAGACACCTCCCACCACAAAGTAAACACTGTTTTGCTTTTGTCTTTTATATAATAGAGTATCATGGGCATCTTTCCAGGTCAGTAGACAGTATCTTACACTGGAGAATTGAATAGTTTTTAAATTTTTTTTTTTTTTTTTGAGACAGTCTCCCTTGATCACCCTTGGTATAGTGCCATGGCGTCTTAGCTCACAGCAACCTCAAATTCCTGGGCTTTAGTGATTCTCTTGCTTTAGCCTCCCGAGTAGCTGAGAGTACAGGCACCCGCCACAACGCCCAGCTACTTCTTAAAGATGAGGGACTCATTCTTGTTCAGGCTGATCTCGAACCTGTGAGCTCAGGCAATCCACCTTCTTCGGTCTCCCAAGTGCTGGGATTACAAGCATGAACCACTGCGCCTGCCTGGCCATAGTTTTTAATTATTAAGGTTGTTTTCTTTTTCTTTTCTTTTTTGAGACAGCCTCAAGCTGTCCCCCTGGATAGAGTGCTGTGGCATCATAGCTCACAACAACCTCCAACTCTTGGGCTCAAGCGAGTTTCCTGCCTCAGCCTCCCAAGTGGCTGGGACCACAGGTGCCTGCCACAACACCCAGCTATTTTTCTTTTTTTTTTTTTCATTGTTGTTTGGCGGCCCGGGCTGGGGATTCGAACCCGCCGCCTTAGGTGTATGTGGCTGGCGCCTTAGCCGCTTGAGCCACAGGCGCTAAGCCTAAGGTTGTTTTCTTAAAGTTGCAGTAACAGTTTCTTTATGTGTCTCTGTATCTTAACTGCCTTTTTTTTAAAGTAAGTTGTACAAAGATACTGAATTTGCATGTCAGAGGATGCAGGGGAGACACTTGAACAAGGAAGATAGATTCCACCAGTTGAAGTGTCTGTGTGCTCACCTCCCCAGCTACCAGGTGCAGGTTACCTGTGTGTACCTGGGATCAGAGGAGTTCTTTTCTCCTCTTTGTTCTTTCTTAAGTATATATATATATATATATTTTTTTTTTTTATTTTTTTTTGCAATTCTTGGCTGGGGCTGGGTTTGAACCCACTACCTCTGGCATATGGGGCTGGCGCCCTACCCCATTGAGTCACAAGCGCCACCCTTTTTTCTTTTTTGTTTTTCTCTCAGTTTTTGGCTGGGGCTGGGTTCAAACCTACCATCTTCAGTATATGGGGCCGGCGCCCTACTCCTTTGAGCCACAGGCGCTGCCCTTAAGTCAGTATTTTAATAAGAAGTTGAACACATTGCCTTACTGTGTGGAGACATAGCCCTCTTGCTTCTGACCAGGCAAAAGAAAAGACTTGAGACTTAAAATAAGACTGAAAAATAGATTTCCTGGCAGAGAAAGTAGCAGCCTGGCCTTCCGCAGGCCTCCTCCCAGTTTTGCTAGCCTTGCTCCTGGTGGCTCCCCCACTGCTGGAGGCAGGTAGAGATTGCCCGTAATGTTGCTGCTCCTTTGTCCCTAGCAGTTGCACCAGGTTCTCCATGCAGAGATGATGCCTCCTGTTGTCCCTTCCTGTTGAAAGCCTGTTAGTTCCAGCACTGTCTCCCCTCTCCCTGCAGCTGGTCCTGGACTCCCAGAAGCGAGTCTTCTCTTGGGGCTTTGGTGGCTATGGCCGGCTAGGCCACGCGGAGCAGAAGGATGAGATGGTCCCTCGCCTGGTGAAGCTGTTTGATTTCCCTGGTCGTGGGGCATCCCAGATCTACGCTGGTTACACCTGCTCCTTTGCTGTCAGTGAAGTGGGTTAGTCATTCTTTTTTTATATACAGTCTCACTATGTCGCCCTCCATAGAGTGCCATGGCATCACATCTCACAGTAACCTCAAATTCTTGGGCTTAAGCGATTCTCTTGCCTCAGCCTCCCATGTGGCTGGGGCTACAGGTGCCCGCTACAATGCCTGGCTATTTTTTGGTTGCATTTGTCGTTGTTTAGCAGGCCTGGACTGAGCTCAACCCACCAACCTTGGTGTCTGTGGACGTCGCCCTACTCACTGAGCTATGGGCACTGAGCCAGTTAGTCATTTCTTCCCTCATCCGTGCCTAGGGACAGGTGCCCGGAACCAAGTTGTGACTTTTCCCTCTGTTGCAGATCAGTGCTTTGTGGGGGGGGCGGGGACCACATGGGCCTTCTCTTGTCCCAAGACCATGAACCCGTTCTTTTAAACACAAAGTTCACTTGTCATTTAGTTCTTTAACTTCTCACTTGATAGTACTGAAGGTGAAACTCAGCTCCTGAGATGTCTAGTCACAGTGGGAATGGGTTTTGTCTTCCCTAGGTGGTCTGTTTTTCTGGGGGGCTACCAATACTTCCCGTGAGTCTACTATGTATCCGAAAGCAGTACAGGACCTCTGTGGCTGGAGAATCCGGAGCCTGGCTTGCGGGTAGGTGGCGGCATCTGCTGGTGAATGTGATCTCTCCTCCTTCCACCAGGATGTTGGATTCACCCATGGTGCCTCTTGCCTGACGGGGCCCCAGTCCTGCTGACTGTGAGGCCGTCCCTGTCTGGGCATTGCATGCATTGAATCTGGTAGGGGTAGGAGGGGAGAGCGCTCAGGAGGCAGAGCAGATTCTTGTTCCCTTTCTTCACAGGGCTGGGGGATCATTTTGAAGATACTGATTCTCCAAAGAAATATACAAGCAGAGCTTGATATGTTCTGCTTAAAAGTTGTAGGTTGGAAATTATTCACAGTTGGAAACAGTTTGATTTAGTTACTCTGACACACTGGGAAACTCTTGGGCTTCAGCAATTCTTCTGCCTCAGCCTCCCAGGTAGCTGAGACTACAGGCGCCTGCCACAATGCCCACATATTTTTTGGTTTCAGTTATTGTTTAGCTGGCCTGCTCCAGGTTCGAACCTGCCAGCCTTGGTGTGTGTGGCTGGCGCCGTAACCTCTGTGTTGGGTAGAATGCTATGGCATCATAGCTCACAGCAACCTCAGACTCTTGGGCTCATGTGTCCTCTTGCCTTAGCTTCCCAAGTTTCTGGGACTACTGATGCCTGCCACAGTGCCTGACATTTTTCTGATTTGAGTAGAGACATGGTCTGATTTTTGCTCAAGCTAGTCTTGAACTCCTAAGCTCAAACCCACGTTGGCCTCCCATAGTGCTAGGATTAAAGGTGTGAGCCACTTTACCCAGCTGCTTCTCAGTTTCGGGACACTTGTTGCATTCTTTTTTCTTTCTTTTTTTTTGTTTTTTTAGAGACAGAGCCTCAAACTATCGCCCTGGGTAGAGTGCTATGGCATCACAGCTCACAGCAACCTCCTACTCCTGGGCTTAAGTGATTCTCTTGCCTCAGCCTCCCAAGTAGCTGGGACTACAGGCGCCGACCACAATGCCCAGCTATTTTTTGGTTATAGTTGTCATTGTTTGGCAGGCCCGGGCTTTTTTCGAACCCGCCAGCTCTGGTGTATGTGGCTGGTGCCTTAGCTGCTTTGAGCTACAGGCACTATCCTCTCTAGCATTTCTTGAGGAATTGATTAATCAACTGGCAGGTGTTGGGGGAGGCCAGCATAGCTTAACCTGTCCTTTAAAACTGCATGAAGGCCCGCTGCCTTTGGAATGGGCTTTTTTTGTTTCATCCTGACATGGTCTCGTCTTTTCCTGGCATGTGTATCTTCCAAAGTGACCTCCCACTGAAAGCCCTTAGAAGCTGGGGTAGGGATGAGGGCAGTGCTTGGCCTAGACTTGTCAGACTTCTCCTGTTTAGTTGAATGGTCTGCATGGGACAATTGTAGGATTCAGGAGAAGCCTATTGGCCTGTTTTTGGTTTTTTTGTTTGTTTTGTTTTTTTGAGACAGAGTCTCAAGCTATTGCCCTGGGTAGAGTGCTGTGGCATCACAGCTCACAGCAACATCAGAGTCTTGAGCTTTAGTGATTCTCTTACCTCAGTATCCCGAGTAGCTGGGACTACAGGCACCTGCCACAGTGCCTGGCTATTTCTGTTGTTGTTGTTGTTGCAGTTGTCATTGTTTTTTTAGCTGGCCCAGGCTAGGTTCGAACCCGCCAGAAGCAGCCAGCTGAGGTGTATGTGGCCATTGCCCTGCCCTCTGAGCTACGGGCACCGCCCATTCCTTTGTCGGTTTTTTTTTTTTTTTTTTTTGCTATTTTGAAATGAATACTTTGTGAAGGTTTTAATGGATGACCTTGGCTTTTAAAAGCAATAGCTCACGCCCTTGCTCTTGAGCAGTAGCTGAGTGGGCTCCAGGGCTGGGGCCGCTGGGAGTGGTGGTGACAGCCTGGCTGTTTGCAGGAAGAGCAGCATCATCGTGGCCGCAGACGAGAGCACCATCAGCTGGGGGCCATCGCCGACCTTCGGGGAACTGGTAAGGTGCTGGTGGGGAGAGGACAAGCCCCCCACAGCGGCTCTCTCAGACTGCCTCCTAAAAACACGCAGAAGAAAACGAGTAGGGCTTTTTTCCTTTATTATGTTAAGTTCTACAAAATTCTATAATTTTTGCATCCCCTGAGCTTTTACGGATGAGTCTGTGCTGATGAAATAATTATGAAAGCCACTTCTGGCCACATCATGAAACACAGAAATTGGGAAGTTTCAGATCTTTTTGGATTTCATAAGCCATGATTGGGACTCCATGGTGGTGCTTGGGTGATAGGAAAGAGGCAGGTTTGTTCGCTCTACAGAGGGGATAAGCCAGTGGGACACGTCATGTAACTCCTGGCTGGAAGTGTTCTTCCCAGTATGGCCTACCAGATTGCTAGAATCCCAGGCCTGTGCCACCATGCCCAAATGGAGGAAACTGTCATTTTAAGTCAAATGGCTGGTAAGCGTATGTCCAGTCTTCCTGCCTCCTGGAAACCTTTCAACTCAACAAGCAGCGCTGGCCGATGGTTCGCACTCTGCATAGCTATAGATTGTTAGGCCAGTCTCGTAGGTGATTTGGAGACACCTCTCTCTCTCTCTCTCTCTCTCTCTCTCTCTCTCTCTCTCTCTCTCTCTTCCTAAATACGGTTAGATCTGTGTTCCAGTTTTTAATCTCACTTACTTGACTGATGAGGTTAGAATCACTGGCCCTCAACCTCACACTTGGGCTTCCCAGACCAAACTTAGGTCCTGGTGTTAGTGAATCTTTAACATAGTTTGATTGTGCAGCTCGTCGTGACGGTGCTCTGGTCATAATTTCATCCTCATTTCCTTCTAGAAACATGGTCCATCTCTCTCCCCTATTCTCTGATGGGTGGGAGCCAACCCTGCTGGTGGAGATGAAGGGAAGGAAGGGCTTTTCCTGGTTCCGTGAGCCAGTGTTGGGGTGGACATACAGGTGCTCCTTTTCACGGGACTCTGCACACCCTCATGTGCAGAGATGTACTTGGATGGGGGACTTCAGAGGTGGCTCATTTGAAACAGAAAGGAAAGAGGCAGGACCTATTCAAGTTTCTATGGATTACTCTTAGAGAAGAATAGATACTTGGTGAGGGGGGCGGCTGCAGATAATAGATTAGACCTTCTAAATATGAATCTTGAAACTAGAGGGGAACGGGGAGATTTCTGGGGAAGGCTCTCAAGTGTCTGGGCGGGCCCACCTGTCGTTGCCCAGGTCCTCCTGTCTCTGGTTGGGGGACACTGCCTTGCAGTTGTTACTAATCAGTAGTGTCCATTTTTCTCAAGTCTTGTGGTTTGGATGGTGGTTATTTGTCCCTCTAAACCAGAGGTATCAAGGGCATGTCACCGACCAGCGTTGTCTGTGACCTCATCCTGAAAGGCTAAAGTTGCTGTTTTTTTCTTAAGGTGTCATCTCCTGTCACCTTTGTGTACTCCCCTAAAGGACTTTGTTATCAAGTAAGCCCTCACAGGTTAGAACTGAGCACCTTGGTCTTCCTGAGATTACAGACTAGGCATCTGCTGGTAACGGCTTTTGTGGGTAAATGGAGATTCTGCCTGGCCCGTGTATCTGAGAGTGGTGGGGCTCAGTTGCTGAGGGACCAGAGGGCATTGTCTCTGGCTCCAGTTAGTGGCTTGCCTGCTGTCGCCACGATTCCCCACTTTTCTGGAGTAGGCCATGTCGATCCCTGTTTTCTTGCTCTACCAGGGCTACGGGGACCACAAGCCCAAGTCTTCCACTGCAGCCCAGGAGGTGAAGACTCTGGATGGCATCTTCTCAGAGCAGGTGAGTGTGGGCTGCTGTGCCGGAGAGAGCCAGAAGGCGCGTCAGCTGGGGCCCATCTCTGGTAGAGAAAGTGTCATGCTCAGTCACCCATTTGGGCTATTTTGTCTAACATCTCAACCAGAAGATAGAGTGCAGGGGACTGCTGGCCAGGGTTGGTGGCTGTACTGGCTCCTGATGATGGGCACCACAGTGTGGCCGCGGCAGATTTGTCCCCCAGAGGGCACGTTGCAGCTCCATTGCACCTTCACCCAAGACTTGGATACTCGCTGCCAGGCTGAGGGGCAGGTTGCCAAATAGAAGCTGCATGATGCAGATGGTGGGGCGGGGCCCCTGCTGCCGAGTCAGCCAAGCTGCCAGCCCTGTCTGTTGAGACCCAGAAGGGGTGTGCACCTCACCCAGGCGGGACTGTGCTCCAGTGAGGCCCATGCAACAGGGAGCGAGAGCTTGAGTCGCCGCCTGTCCCTGTCCATGCTCCTCCAGCCTTGTCCTCTGTATCCTGAGAGGCTATAGCTGGCGGGGTGTTCATTGGTGCTGGGATCACATGGAAACTTGCTGTCCTTGGAGGGTTTTTATACACAGCTCAAGAGTCTCCCTTTTTTTTGTTGTTGTTCTATTTGTTGCCCTCAGTATATAGTGCCATGGTGTCACAGCTCACAGCAGCCTCAAAACTTTCGGGCTCTCTTGCCTCAGCCTTTGAGTAGCTGGGACTACACGTGCCTGCCACAATGCCTAGTTGATTTTTAGAGATGGGATCTTGCTCATGCTCAGGCTAGTCTCAAACCTATGAGCTGCAATCCACCTGCATCCGCCTTCTAGAGTGCTAGGTTGCAGGTGTGAGCCACCGTGCCCGGCAGAGTCCCCCATTTCCCTCCATGGCAGCCCAGCTTCCAGCGTTCAGTTACTAGTTGGCCTTGTGCTCACGTGCCCAGCACTCTGTACACAGCCAGGACTGATTTCTCGCAGGTCGCCATGGGCTACTCACACTCTTTGGTGATAGCAAGAGATGAAAGCGAGACTGAGAAAGAGAAGATCAAGAAACTGCCAGAATACAATCCCCGAACCCTCTGATGGTCCTGGAGACTCCTCCAACTCCACACCTCTCGCGGCAGCTGTCATTTCCATGTGCACTGGGAAGTGAAGTCAAACGAGGAATTGAAAAAAGCAAAAGTTGACCGAAGGTGCATTTGTTAGACTCCCTGAGGTTCCGTTTTATAAGTGACCCAACATTAACTACCTTTTTCTGTATGCTTTCCAAAGTATGTTTTTTTTCTCTTCATGTTTAATTAAAATATTTGCTCATGGTTGACTTACCATTCCTACAAAAAAAGGCAGAAACTTTGAGCAACCTAGGTTTTTTTTAAGTTGCTTTTTCTTTTTTCTTCTAAGTCTACTTCCCCAAACACCCTTTCCAGTCATGATTAGCATTGTGATCTGAGTGGGTGCTGCGTGGAAGAGGAATCACCATTTACTCAGAAAAGATGTCCTGTACGGGAACCAGCAGCATCCAGGCAAAACCGCGCTTGTGTCCTGGAGCATCCTGGTCACGCCTTTCCTGCTTTTTCTTGCAGACCGGCCAAGGCCTGCGCTTGTTCTGTTTCTCCCCACGGCTGCTTGCGAGGCCCACGGCCTTCTGGCTGCACCGTGAATAGAATCTGCCGTTTCCCCCCCAGGTGGGGGTTTGGGGTCTGTGTTTAGCCATTTTTATCTCCTTCAGCTGTAAAGGAAACCCAAATGAAAATCAGGTGATTGTGGAACCATGGGGACTTGGGGGTGGGGCAGAGATGAGGAACATTTATGTCTTCTGCAAGGTCCGGCTTTGTGGCTCCCTGCAGAGCGGGCCTTGTCACTAGCACTCGCCAATTAGAGATTTATCAGCCAGCAGTAAAAAGTGCTTTCTCCAGTCCTTGCAAAGAAGGATCAGCTATTTGTCATACCAGCCTTTATCACCTTTGTGCTTCGGTCTTTTCTTTCTCTTCCCCCCGCCTGGATCCTGCTTACAATGGGCTGTCCTATTTCTGAGACTTGGGGTACCGTTCTGCTAACCCAGCTCTCTAGTCGCATTTGCTTGGCTCTGGTACCAAATACTTGGGATTACTGAAGAAGTCCCCCTTCCTGTGTGTCAGCGCCGATGCTGTGACTGCCACCCGCTGCCCGTCAAGTGCCCTCTGCCCGAGCTCGCCACCAATGTGCGCTGTGCTGCGTGAGTTACGAGGTGCCTTTCCCGGAACCCTCCGCTCACTTGGACCCAAGAGAGGTGACAGCTGTGGCTGGGGCTCTTGGTTTCCAGAGCGTCTGGACTGGTTTGGGTGCTTTAAAATAGATTTTTAGTTCAGTGGTGCTTACGGGGGAGGTGGGGGTAAGACTTCAGTATGAGACTGGGGTGGACGGGAAAGTTCCGTATTGGTCTCTCTCAGTTTGCTTTGCTTTTGCTATTGTTACCATTTGTCATTGTCTCGATGTTAAAATGCCAAAAATGATCTAGTCGTCGTCGTTTTTTCCCTGTCTTCCACCCCCGTCACTCCTTACTATGGTGACTTTCTGCCCTAGCAGGGCACATAGCAGTATCTGTCCTGGCCAGTTCCAAGACGCTGCAGGAGGAGACTGGCCTGCATCTTTCTAAGAGTTGTCATGCTCATCTCTTTGTCCTATGTCCAATCGATAGTCCAGGGGAGAAGCTTCTGCAACTTCAGAGCTTCTGCTAAACTAACTTAATTTGTCCAAATCACCCCAAAATCACCATCTCCAACTCAAAGCTTCCATGTGACAACCTAATAAGTTTCCCTGGATAGGCCTTCACTGGCACGCAGCTCAGACAGCTGTGTTCTGTGTCACCAAGAGGGTCGAGGAAGCAGCACCCTGGGTCCTGGCCTTTGCAGAAGCCTCCTTGTGTGGAGCTGGGCCTAAGGCCACCCACGAATCCGCCTCAGCCTCTTCTGGAACCCTTGCTAGGGACAGGAGCAGGAAAAGGACCTTCCAAGTGAAGACTTCCCTGTCCCCTGGCCCCATGTACCTCCCTTCACTTCCTTTTGGCTTAGAATTTAAAATGAACTTCCTAATGAGGAAGATCCTTTCGAACAAGGGGGAGGGGTGGTCCTGTGCTCCTGCAGAAAGGTGCCCAGCAACCTGGCTTGGCTGGGGATGTGCTTGGCGCTGGCCCTGTGGGTTGTCTGGCCAGTCTTCCAGCTCAGGAAGGAGAATTTAAAAGACAAGGCATGAGGGTGCGGAAGAGCGGAAGAGCAGGTTGTGATTTGGTCGAAGGTGCCTGGTTTAGTGCTGTAATTGTCTTTTTTTTTTTTATATATATATATTTCTTGGAGTAAACATTTTAAATAAATGGCATCATTGTTTACTGTCTCGGCCTTTCTGTTTCTTTTTCAGTTAGAACTTATCTCTAGCTTCTCAATGCCTTGTATGCAGACTCCCCCCAAGCCTGGCACTCACAGAAAAGGGCGGCAGGAGAAAGGTGGCCCCAGGCTTAAATGTGATTTATAGGCTTAAATCACACAGGGGTTAAGGTGAGTGGAGCCCCCAACTCTGTCCCTCGAAGTGTGTGTGGGGTGTGGATATCAATGCTTCAGTCCAACTCAAATAAGTTTTTTCTAGTCTTACTGGGGCTTTGAAGAGGGTGAGAATGAGATCAGTCAGGGAAGCATCCAGAATAGGGCCTGGTGCGGCCTGTACCCTGAAGTGTTGTGCTCACACCCCCGGCTGAGGAGGGAGCCTTCTGTGGATGCTGGCCACGTGTGCACTTACCACTTGTGGGCAGTGTGGCCAGATGCCCACCAGGGGGCACCAAGAGGCAGTCCTGTACGGATGCTGGGGCATACTTGGGCAGGAAGGCCTTCACTTCAATGTTGCTGCTCTTGGTCACCCTGGCCAAGTTCTAGACTGGATTATCTGCACAGGCCACTGGTTCCCTGCAGCTGCATATAGGCTGGCGCCTGGGTAGCAGTAGTGGTCAGACCAGCCCCTGCCAGTAGGCGTTGCCTCTGTTCTGGAGAGAAGGGGAGCATGTCCTGTAGTCCGTTACTGGCAGAAGCAGCATGCTGTGGCAGATTGCAGGTCTGTCTATGGGTAAAATATGGGATTCCCCGTCAAATGGCTTGGTCGCCTGGTGCTTCCCAGGCACATCGATCCTGCCCTGGAGGATACCCCTCTGCACCCCCAGCCTGCAAGGGAAGTGGCCACCTCTTATGGGCAGCATCCATGGAAAAAGTTAGTGGTTGACACGTTCTGGCTGTTATGTGACACCCACCCGCAGCACCTGTAATCCATACCAATAGTCTTGAGGGGTCAGGGCCATATTCCCCTGTCACAGGGGAACATGAGATGGATAGACCATAGCAGGTCAGAACTGCTCTGTTAAAAGGTCCCAACACCAGACTCCCAGGTCCCCTCTAAGAGCCTGCCCCTGGCCAGACCAGGACCCCCTGCAGCCCACAGCCACTTTGGGAAGGGGCTTTGCTCAGAGATGTGGGGATAGCCAGCCACACACACTACCCTGGAGAACAGCAGCCTTGGGCCCTGTGGGCTAGGGGCAAATTACATCTGCCATGCTTTCCGTACATGGCTTAATAAATTTACCGTCAGTAAGTGGGTTTTTTGGGTTTTTTTTTTTTTTTTTTTTTGGTTTTAAGCGTTACCACATAACTGGCTTTTATAGTAGAATATGAATTGTAACTTGTTTTTGTTGAGAAGATACTTTAGTTCAGCTATTTTGTCACAGTACAGAATACTTCTATACATGGAATCTGGCAGCATCTTTTTGCGTATAATGCCTTTTCAAATTATAGTCTTTGAAAATTTCCATAAATGTAGTCATCTGTCCACTGTTCATTGAACAGTCTTCATTTGTAATTGGCGTGGGCAGGGGGGGCGTGTCTGTTTCTTCAGTCTATTCTGTAGCACAGCCTGGGCTAGTACAGAGTCACAAAAGTGAATACAACAGGGGTCTCTTCAGCATAGGTCACAAACAGTTTGCTGCAGGCAGATAACAAAGCACAGCCCCTAAACTGTCCTGGGTAGCTGGCACACTGCCCCAGCCAGAGAGCAGCTCCCAGACCAGAACCCACACCTCATCTCAAGATGATGTTTGTGTACCCAGCTGCACCCTCCCCATGCTTCTGCCACTGTTCCCCAGGGTGACCCGAGTAAGGCCAGGTGAGTGCTCAGGCTTGGGATCCCAGCTCTGCTTTGTCCTAGCCATGTGACCTGGGATGAGTCCCCCAGTCCTCCCCTGTGGAAAATGGGGACAGTAGGACCCACCTTAGGTCGTTGAAACGATTGAAGGGACTGCTTTGAACCTCACCAGGGCTCACACATGGTCTCCACTCCCCCTGTGAGACCTAGGGCAGGGAGCTCCCTATGGGTGTGGACACTGGGCTCCCTCAGGTGTTCTAGAAAGTATTCACAGGGGAGAAACAGCATGGGAGCCAAGCTATAGTTAAATCTGAGGGGTTTTTTTGTCTCACTCTATTGGCCAGGCTAGAGTGCCATGGCCTCAATCTACTGCACAGCAACCTCAAACTCCTGAGCTCAAGCATCCTGCCTCAGCCTCCCAAGTAGCTGGGACTATAGGCACCCACCACCACACCTGGCTAATGTTTCTATTAGTAGTAGAGATGAGGTCACGCTCTTGCTCAGGCTGGTCTCCAACTCCTGAGCTGAAGCAGTCCTCTCCCAGCCTTGCAGAGTGCTAGGATTACAGGTGTGACCACCACCCCAGGCCTCAGCTTGCTTTAATTGCACCCGTGCCATTGTCACAGGGTGGCCAGGCAAGTGGAAATAGGCTGCCTGGAGCAGGCCTTTCGGCTTTAAAGCAGCCCAGGCCTGCCCCTGCCATACCTTCTCCTTCAGACCACACCCTACAGACCCCAAGAGCCCAGAGCTTCAACCCACTGAGGACAGCTGCCCTTGGGCATGGTGCTAGCCCTTCTCCCTTACCACAGCCGGGAGCTGTCACATTGAGCCCTACAGCAGTGATTTTTTAACCTGTGCACTGCTAGCCGATCATGACTATGCTTTGAAAATTTTTAAAGATTTTCAAAAAGTTCAAAGTATAGTTTTTACTTTTGATCAATGTAATTTAAGTGTGCTGGGCCGAATAGCAACATTATCTAACCCAGTCACTGCTTTTTCCCTCTCATCCCTGCCCCCCCAAGTGGGACAGCATGATCACAGGTGTCATATCAGTTTTGTCCTCAGCTGTCATTCACTCCCCCCTTCCTCAAACAAGGCCACCATGAAAGTGCATTCACAACAGCTTGAGCTTTATTGGCCATTCAGTGAACACTTCCTGGCTAAAGGTGGTTTTCCATCTTTCCTCCCCAAAGGGGTTCAAGCTGGTGACATTTGCCACACTACTGGGTCCAGGGGACAGGGGTAGACAGGGCAGGGAAGGGGCTATGGTGCTATTGCATGGTGACAGTGGCTGTTCATGCCTACGCAGAGCAGGCAGCCCAGGGCCTGGGGCTATGGCACCATCTTCCACCACTTGAAAGCAAAGGGCACCCGGCGGATATTGGCACAGGCACACAAGTCTCCGATGTCGGTCAGGTAACGGTCAAAGTCATCGATGAAGGTGCAGTGTAAGCCCAGGGGCTCCAGTAAGTGGCGGACGTGTTCTTCCAGGCAGCAGGTACCCTTGATTTGGGGCCCAAAAGGCTTAGGGATCCCCAGGTTCTTGCCTAGTACGACCATCTGCAGCTGTCAGGGAGATGGTTATTATGGGTGAGGCCTGGATGGGCATCAGCCATCAGAGAAAGCCCCCTCTTTCCCTACGGAAGGGGCACTATAGGGTGAAATGCAGGTATGACCCAGCTGCCTCTATGGGGCTGGGCCAGACCAGGAATAGCAAGCAAGGGGCACCATCTTCAGATACTGACCAGTGAGCTGCAGCTCACTTCTGCCTCCCCACACCCACTGTGGTTCTGGGTTGTTTTTTTTTTCTTTTAGAGATAGTCTTAACTGGCTCGGCGCCTGTGGCTCAAGTGCCTGGGGCGCCAGCCACATACACCTAGGGTGGCGGGTTCAAATCCAGCCCAAGCTGCCAAAGCGACAATGACGGCTGCAACCAAAAAAAGTGGCCGGGCATTGTGGCGGGCGCCTGTGGTCCCGGCTGCTTGGGAGACTGAGGCAGGAGACTCACTTAAGCCCAGGAGTTGGAGGTTGCTGTGAGCTGTGATGCCACAGCACTCTACCCAGGGGGATAGCTTG